GCAGGGAGCCCGACGTGGGACTCGATCCCAGGACCCTGGGATCATGACCTGAGCCGAAGGCAGACGCTTAACGACTGAGCCACCCAGGCGCCCGGGGTCATGATTTTGAGTCCCATGTTGAGCATAGAGATTACTTAAAAATACATAAAGTTAAAAAAATAATATACAGACTTGATTCAAATTTCTGAGTGTCTCAAGAATTTCCTCTGTAGCTATTTTCTTTAAATCTAGAATCCAGTCAAGAATCATGCATTTCATTTACTTGTTACATCTTTTTAGTTTGCATTAAGGTAGAATAGTTCCCTAGTCTTTTGTTTTTCACCATGACAAATTTTTTTTCCAGATGAATACATTTCCTTTATCAAGGGTGACAAATCAAAACAAAACCCCTAAACCCCAAACATTTAAAAACCCAGGGTGCTGGAAATACCAACTCAATTCATTTGAATTCAAGCTCATCCAGATGCAGTCACAAACCCTAGTGAGATGCATGTGAGCACCAAGACTGGGAGAGGGGGCCAGGAGTGAGGCCAAGAGAAAGGGTGGGAAGGGGCCCCCATAGGTTCCCTAGGGATCACTCTCACAGTGGTACCTCCACCTTCCCAGCGACATTGAAGACCTACTAGGCCCTAACCTTTTGACTACCCCCATCCCTGATGAGGGCTTTGAAGGTCAGTCCCAAGTGGCTCTGCCTTCCCTTGCTCTGTCCTTACTTGCTCCCAGCCTCGCCTTTCTCCTCCTCCACATTCCTTTCTGTGATTAGTAGCAGGTTAGGGTACTGTGTGAGCCATAGTGAGGCTGGGGGCTAGGAGAGGCAGGGTGGAGTACGGGTGAAGAGAGAAGAGCTGTCCCGGGATCCCTGTCTTTACGGATCCCAAACTGTGCAACCAGCTCCTCTTACATCCGCTCCAATCTGAGGAAGTGCCCTGGAGGCCTAAGCAGCTGTCCTGGAGACCTGCTGCAAGTCGGAGAAGGGGAGGGGCTCACTGGCCTGCACATGGTGGGGCTGGCAGGTGAGCGATGGCGGCGGCGGCTCAGCCTGGTGCTCCGCACAGCCAAGTGGGTGCTCTCCTGCCTTGCCGGGTCCGTGTGCTCATGCAGCTCCGTGCCCTGGGAGGCTGCAGCAGACACTTGGGTGATGTTGCTGGCTGTCTCAGCAAGGGTTGGGGAGAGCAGGGCCTGCTCATCTGTGTGAGCCGCAAGGCAGGCTGTGGTGGTTGGGCTCAGCTCCACTGAGGCCTTTGGTAGGTAGGCCGCTAGGGTCCAGCAGCAGCTTCTCGGTCCTGGTTCAAATCCTCGTTCTCTGGAGCGGCACCCCGTGGCTGGGGTCCGGCCAGGCGCTCAGGCCACGCTGAGGAGGGACGGCATCTGTCCTCACAGTATTTTTGAAGAGCCTTGGTTATAAAATGTTCTGCAATTTGTATGTCTAATTATTTCCTCATGATTAGATCCAGATTAAACATTTCAGCAGCAGTACTGCATAGGATGAAGGTTATTTTTTCTCAGTTTCTATCAGATTAGGGGCCACATGTTATCAGTTATCCCATTGTTAATGATGTTAAATTTGGTCATTTCATTAGTAGCCATATTTCTCCATTAAAATACCTTAATTGTAATTAGTAAGTAATCTATGGGATGATAGTCTGAGACTATACGTATTCTGTTTCCTGATAGTCTTTCATACTGTGGTTTGGTAACCATTAATGATTCTTGCCAGTAAAATGGTGGCTTTCTATTTCTCTTATTTCTAATTTGTTAGGCTGCCATTCTTTTTTTTTTTTAAGATTTATTTATTTTATTTATTTGAGAGAGAGAATGAGAGAGAGAGCATGAAAGGGGGGAGGGTCAGAGGGAGAAGCAGACTCCCTGCTGAGCAGGGAGCCCAATGTGGGACTCGATCCTGGGACTCCAGGATCAAGACCTGAGCCGAAGGCAGTCGCTTAACCAACTGAGGCACCCAGGCACTCTAGGCTGGTATTCTTCTATAAAGCAGAGCTTTTCTTTCTCCTTGCCTCACCCCTCCCCCACCTTTTTTTTAAGATTTAAAAAAAAATTTTAAGTACAAGCTAGCCCACCAGCATCTGGCTATAGCTCACGATCCCAAGGTCAACAGTGGCATGTTCTACTGACTGAGCCAGCCAGGTGCCCCACCTCATTTTAAAAAACTAATTATTTAAGTATCAAAAAGATTCAGAGAGTGCTCACTTCGGCAGCGCATGTACTAAAATTGGAATGATACAGAGAAAATTAGCATGGCCCTGTGCAAAGATGAGATGCAAATTCATATAGTGTTCCGTATTTAAAAAAATAGATTAAGAGATTCTTTTTTATTCATTGGGTTACCAGACATTCCTGTCATTCATTTTGATGCTCAGATTTTCCCATATTTGGTGGGTTTTATTCTGTTTTAATGTCTTAGAAAATTGACGTTTTACCACCTCCTTTAGTATGTTTTCATACTTCGCTGAGTTTTTTCCCCCCATACTTTACTGTACTTAATGTTTGGATACAGAGTATTATTTCAGCATTGTTCCTTTAAAAAAAGGAAAACTTTCTAGGTAGTAGTTCCTAAGGTTATAAATGAAGAAGAAGTTTGATGTTATGGTCAAATCAAATTTAGTTCTGTGTAGACTTTTTCAAAAAGTTATTTGTAGTATAAATTTTTCTGGGCACGTGTGGTGGTGGGGTGGTGGCCAGGGAGAGAGAAAGCCTAATTCTTTTTTTTTCTTAAGTAGTTTCCACACCCAGTGTAGAGCCCAGTCCAGGGTCTTGAACTCACAACCCTGAGATCAAGACCTGAGCTGAGGTCAAGAGTTGGATGTTTAACCCACTGAGCCACCCAGGTGCCCCAAGAAAGTCTAATTCTGGTGCATAGTGAAACTTCACCAAACTGAGCCTGGTGAACTAAAATTTGTGATTATTCAGATATGATAAACATCATACATGTGTGTGTGTGTGTTTGTGTGTATTTATTTTATTTATATATATTTTTTGGTGTCTGTGGTTGGGTCCAAACTAAACATGATATTTGAGTAAGTAATTAAAATTCCTTTATATATTTCATAGAAATCTAGTCTAGACTCAGTATGTTCTTCAAAAAATGGCTCAAGAAATGAAGTCTTATTTCCTTTCTTTTTAAAGATTTTTAAGTCATCTCAACACCCAACCTGGGCCTTGAACTCACAGCTCCGAGATCAAGAGTCATGCTCTACCCCCTGAGCCAGTCAGCCACCCCTGAAATATTATTTCTGTTGGCCTTCAGCATTAGGGTGTAGCAATTCTTATATATCTAATTTCATGTACTAAGACTATACCTCACTACTAATCTATTTATTCCCTTGTCCCAGTAATCTCTGTTTTAACAGACCCTCTGGGTAATTCAAATGTGGGCTCAAGTTTGAGTCCTGGTCTAAGAGCACTATTCTTGGGAGGCCTAGATTCAGTCCATTTGTGGATTAATTATTTTTTTCCTAGACCTTGTTCATTCATTTTACAAATATTTATTGGACATCTGTTTGCCAGGCATTTCTTAATGCATTAGGTTGTATTTGTAACACCAGCTACATGTTTTGCATCAGCAAGCTATGGATAACAAAAAGGACTATATAATAGTCTGACTGGTTTTATTTTTTTATTTTTATTTTTATTTTTTTTCAAAGATTTTATCTATTTATTTGACAGAGAGATAGTGAGAGAGGGAGCACAAGCAGGGGGAGTGGGAGAGGGAGAAGCAGGCCTTCCGCTGAGCAGGGAGCCCGATGTGGAGCTCGATCCCAGGACCCCGGGATCATGACCTGAGCCGAAGGCAGACGCCCAACGACTGAGCCACCCAGGCGCCCCAATAGTCTCACTGGTTTTAGATAGATAGCCCCATCGTTGCGACTGGAAAAAAAATCTAAAATAATAAGCTTTCTTATTTTGTTTTTTATATTGTATCATTTTTTTTTAAAGATTTTGTTTATTCATTTGAGGCACAGAGATAGAGAGCATGAGCAGGGGGAGAGGCAGAGGCAGAGGGAGAAGCAGGCTCCCCGCTGAGCCAGGAGCCCGATGTGGGGCTTGATCCCAGGACCCTGGCATCATGACCTGAGCCGAAGGCAGTCGCTTAACCATCTGAGCCACCCAGGTGCCCCTTGTGTCATATTTTTAAGACTATGTGGCGAGTATGATGAATTCCCATATTTTATCAATTCTAAGATACACATGCTTTTCACATAAAAAACTTTAATTTTGGAAATATTTTTCACATTTTAACAACTCTGGTATCAAGATGCATCTCACAATTATTTTTGGCCAGATAGCAATCATGGCATTGCTTGTGCCTGCAAATGAGCATTAAAACTTGTAGAACGGGCGTCAGCAACTTAGAAAAAATTCATGAAGACAGTAGTAGAGTGGCAAACTTTTAAGAAATGTCACATCACCTGAGCCCTTGGTGGCACAGAAGACAATATATTATGGCAAAATATGGATATCAGTAATGGCATTGAAATGTTTCAGAAGAGTTGGACTCTTAATGTGAAGTTTCAAGAATCCCTATTCAGTTTATCCTAATTATATAGCTTATATAAGGAATGATATATATTAAAACTGTTTGTCTAAGTAAATCTAAAAGAACTCTCAATACTTTTTTTAATTAAGTTTTTAAAGCTTCATTCCAGTATAGCTAACATACAGTGGTAAATTAGTTTCGGGTGTACAATGTAGTGATTGAACAATTCTGTACGTTACTCAGTGCTCATCGTGATAAATGTATTCTTTAATCCCCATCACCTGTTTCACCCTTTCCCTTACCCACCTCCCCTCTTTTAATACTTTCTTAAAAAGTCTATTTAAAAAATTTTGTTTTAAGATTTTATTTTTAAGGGTGGCTCAGTAGGTTAAGCATCTGCCTTCCGCTCAGGTCATGATCCCAGGGTCCTGGGATCGAGCCGCATGTTGGGCTCCCTGCTCAGTGGGGAGCCTGCTTCTCCCTCTCCCTCTGCTGCTTCCCCTGCTTGTGCTCTCTCTCTCTGTCAAATAAAATAAAATCTTCAAAAAAAAAAGATTTTATTTTTAAGTAATCTGTACACCCGACGTGGGGCTCAAACTCACAACCCTGAGATCAAGAGTCTGATGCTCCACCAACTGAGCCAGCCAGGTGCCCTATTTTAAAACTTTTTTTTTTTTTTTTAAAGATTTTATTCATTTGACAGAGAGAGACACAGCGAGAGAGGGAACACAAGCAGGGGGAGTGGGAGAGGGAGAAGCAGGCTTCCTGTAGAGCAGGGAGCCTGATGTGGGGCTTGATCCCAGGACCCTGGGATCATGACCTGAGCCGAAGGCAGACGCTTAACGACTGAGCCACCCAGGCGCCCCTAAAACTTTTTAAAGGGAAATTTTCAATCACATCTGTAGAGAAAAGTTTTATAAATTCCTTTGTATTAGTCACCTCAGTATAACCATTGACTCTGTCTAATCTAATCCACAATTTTTTAAGATTTTATTTATTTATTTGAGAGAGAGAGAATGAGAGGAGCACGAGAGGGGGGAGGGTCAGAGGGAGAAGCAGACTCCCCGCCGAGCAGGGAGCCTGAAGCGGGACTCGATCCTGGGACTCCAGGATCATGACCTGAGCTGAAGGCAGTCGCTTAACCAACTGAGCCACCCAGGTGCTGCGAATCCCCAATTTTTCTATTCATTAAATTTACAAGTAAAATTTTAAGTCATAATGTTTCATAGGTTACTTGTTTTTTTCCTTTTTAGTGATACATAAAACAATAATGAATGTTTATAATCTTATTGACATCATAGATTTCATGAAATATTGTATTTGATGTTGTACATTAGTAACCGTGTCAAATCTCTAATTTTAGCTGTTACTTATAGAACTATCTTTCTAGTAAAATTTTCTTTCTCAAGTCCTGAGTCCCTATTCAGTGAGGCAATGAGTATGGGTAATTTTGTTTTTTTGTTCTTTAGAGATTCCAGAGAGTGACATGGTGCCAGGGATCATTTTGGTGACAGAAGAAGAACTTACTATGTGTATTGAGGATGTATTTAAGGTTGGTAATTTGAGTCACTAATGTTTTTAGCTAATATTTATACTTAGTCTTTTAAAAGAGTTTTGCCTTTTTAATTGGTACTTCAAGAATTGGAATGACTAATTTTGAATTCCAAATGATCAATATTTTTTCACTCTGAAAACTGGAAACTAAGCTGTTAGTAAAAAAACTGGTACATTTTGAAACTCTCAATTTCATCATTTACTCTGAATGTTAAATAGTTTAGATTCTCTAAGTAGCACATACCATTGATGAAAGCATATCTTTTGAAGAAACTAACAGTGACTTTTGCAATGCTGTAGGTTTCCAAAACTGTATAGTATTGACTCTACTTTATATCTTTTGATAGTAATCACCATCATAAAAAGTCTGAATAAATGAATCTTGCAAATGACTACCTAAATATATTACTGAAAATGGAAAAAATATATATTCTCTATGATTGCAGTCTTATAAATATATATGAAACATATATTTTTAGACAAAAAATGAAATCCACTGTGTGAGGGCCAGATGGAGCTGGGGTAAATATTCTTCTTTAAAGTTTATTTCAATAAATTCATAATAGTATTTTACTATTAAAAATATCCACACTAGTAAACAGCTTTCAAAATTATATTCCATGTAAAAAGGTACATCTGCTCTGGAAAATAGTTTGGCAGTTCCTCAAAAAGTTAAACATGGAGTTATTATTATATGACCCCATAATTCCACTCTTAGGTATATACCCAAGAGAAATGAAAACATGTTCAGACACAAACCTGTGCACAGATGTTCATTGCAGCATTATTCATAATAGCCAAAACGGAACAGCCCAGATGTCTATCAACCGATAAATGGATAAGCAAATGTGATATATCCATATAATGAAATATTTTTTAGCCATAAAAAAGAATGAAGTATGGACACATGCCACAACACAGACAAACATTTAAAAACAACAGTTAAAAAAAATTTTTTTTAAAGATTTTGTTTATTTGACAGAGAGAGACACAGCAAGAGAGGGAACACTGGCAGGGGGAGTGGGAGAGGGAGAAGCAGGCTTCCCGCTGGTTTCTTTTTGACGTAAGGAAAACGTTCTGGAATTAGACAGTGGTGATCGTTATACAACCTTGTGAATATACAAAAAGCCACTTAGTTGTACATTTTAAGAGTGCATTTTATGACATGTGAATTATTCATTATTTTAAAATTCTACATTTCCCATTTCTGTAGCAGTAAATTAAACATTTTAGAGTAAATGTTTAGCTTTTTATGAACTAATTTAAACATACAAAAAAAAATTAGTAGTAAAACACTCATGAACCCACCACTCAGCTTAAGAAATTAAACATTACCAATTCAGTTGAAATCTTCTATCTGCCTACCCCTGGTCACATTTCTCTTGCTTCCTACCTGAAGATGCATTGTAGTTTTAATTAGCAGTTCTCTTATTACTAGTGAGTTGAACATCTTTTTGTGTTCTTAGTTCATTCATAATTTTCCCTTCTGTAAATTTCCTAATCATATATTTTGCCCATTTAAAAAATGGGGTTGTTTGCCTCTTCAGAATTTTTTAAGAATAAACCTTTTATTATAAAACAGTTTTATCGAGATATACTTTACAGACCATAGGATAACGTTTTAAGTATACAAGTCAATGATTTTTAGTAAGTTTGTAGAGTTAAACTGTCACCAAAATATAATTTTAGGACCTTTCCATTACTCCCAAAAGATCCCTGTGCCTATTTACAGTCACTCCTTGTTCCTCCCCTCAGCCCCAGGCAACCCCTAGTCTGCTCTCTACCTCTGTGAATTTGCCTTTTGTGGCTGTTTCATGGGAGGGAACCGTACAACAGGTGATCTTTTGTGGCTAGTTTCTCTCTCTTAGCATAATGGTGTTTGTTTGTCTGTTTTAAGTAATCTCTGTGCCCAAAATGGGGCTTGAACTTATGACCCTGAGATAAGAATCACATGCTCTACCAACTGAGCCAGCCAGGTGCCCCTCTCTTAGCATAATGTTCTGAGGTTGGGGCGCCTGGGTGGCTCAGTCGTTAAGCGTCTGCCTTCGGCTCAGGTCATGATCCTAGGGTCCTGGGATCGAGCCCCGCATCAGGCTCCCTTCTCCGCGGGGAGCCTGCTTCTCTCTCTCCCACTCCCCCTGCTTGTGTTCCCTCTCTCACTGTGTCTCTCTTTGTCAAATAAATAAATAAAAATCTTTAAAAAAAAAAATAATAATGTTCTGAGGTTTATCCAGGTTGTTTCATATATCAATATTTTGTCCCTTTTAATTGCTAAGTAATATTCCATTGTATGAATATACAACATTTTGTTTATTTGTTCATCAGTTGATGGACATTTGACTGTAGAGTAAATCTTTCTTTTTTAAAATTTTTTTCCGGGCGCCTGGGTGGCTCAGTCGTTAAGCGTCTGCCCTCGGCTCAGGCCATGATCCCGGGATCCTGGGATTGAGCCCCACATCAGGCTCCCTGCTTGGTGGGAAGCCTGCTTCTCCCTCTCCCACTCCCCCTGTTGTGTTCCTGCTCTCACTGTCTCTGTCTTTGTCAAATAAATAAATAAAATCTTTAAAAAATAAATAATTTTTTTTAGTTTAAATTCATTAATTAACATATAATATATTATTGGTTTCAGAGGTAGAGGTCAGTGATTCATCAGTCTTATACCCAGTGCTCATTACATCATGTGCCCTCCTTAATGTCTATCACCCAGTTACCCCCACCCCCCTCCCATCCAGCAACCCTCAGTTTGTTTGTCTCTAACCATAAGAGTTACAGAGTATAGAGAACAAACTGAGGGTTGATGGAAGGAGGTAGGTAGGAGATGGGTTAGATGGGTGACGGGTATTAAAGAGGGTACTTGTGATGAGTTCTGGGTGTTGTATCTAAGTGATGAAGCACTGAATTCTACTCCAGAAACCAATATTGCACTGTATGTTAACTAACTAAAAGTTAAATAAAAAAATAAAAATAAAACAGCTTTATAAGATATAATTCACATACTTTACAGTTCACCCATTTGAAGTGTGCAAATCAGGGCACCTGTGTGGCTCAGTTGGTTCATTCTGACTCTTGATTCTGTCTCATCAGGATCCTCAGGGTTGTGAGATTGAGTCCTGCCTCAGGCTCTGTGCTCAGTGGGGAGCCTGCTTGAGATTCTCTCACCCTCTCCCTCTACCTCTGCCCCCTCCTCCCCACCCCACACTCTCTCTCTCTCTCAATAAATAAATAAATCTTTAAAAAAATGAAAAATAAATAATAAAGTATGCCAATCAGTGGCATTTTATTATATTCACAGGTTTGTGCAGCCATCATCACAACTGATTTTAGGATACTTCATTACCCAAAAAGAAACCTCACACTACTCCCTAAGCCCTCCACCACACTTCCCTCCACTCTCCCTATCCCTCACCCCTCCAGCCCCGGGCAGCCACTAATCGACTTTCTATTTCTCTAGATTTGCCTATTCTGGACATTCCATGTACATGGAATTATACAATATGTATTTTGTGATTGGCTTCTTTTGCTTAGCATGATGTTTTTCAGGTTTATATTGTAGTATGAAGCAGGACTTCATTCTTTTTTTTTTTTTAAGATTTTATTTATTTATTTGACAGAGAGAGAACACAAGTAGGCAGAGTGGCAGGCAGAGGGAGAGGGAAAAGCAGGCTCTCTGAGGAGCAGGGAGCCTGATGCAGGGTTCGATCCCAGGACACTGGGATCATGACCTGAGTCAAAGGCAGATGCTTAACTGACTGAGCCACCTGTGCACCCCTCTTTTTTTTTTTTTAAGATTTAAAAAAAAATTTTTTATTTATTTTTAAAATTTTTTTAAAAGATTTTATTTATTTATTTGACAGAGACACAGTGAGAGAGGGAACACAAGCAGGGGGAGTGGGAGAGGGAGAAGCAGGCTTCCTACCGAGCAGGGAGCCCCATGCGGGGCTCGATCCCAGGACCCCAGGATCACGACCTGAGCCGAAGGCAGATGCTTAACGACTGAGCCACCCAGGCACCCCCCCAAAATTTTTATTTTTAAGTAATCTCTACACCCAACATGGGGCTTGAACTTACAACCCTTAGATCAAGAGTTGCATGCTCCACTGACAGAGCCATCCAGGTGCCCCAAGACGTCATTCCTTTTTATTGCTGAATAGTATCCTGTTGTAGGTACAGACTGTATTTTTGTAATTCATGCATCCTCTGATGTATGTTTGGGTTGTTTCTACATTTTGGCTATTATGATTAATGCTGCTATGGACATTTGTGTAGGAGTCTTTGTGTAACATATGTTTTCATTTCTCTTGGGTGTGTTGCTAGATCTTATGGTAACTCTGTGTTTAACCTGAGTAGAATTGCTAGATCTTTTTTTTTTTTTTTTAAA